ACTTTGAACCAAATGAACGTAGGAATAACGGGGTGAGGAGGACAGCATTAGTTCTGATGACAAATTTTGAGACATCTAACATATGTGTTAGTTGCTCAGTTGTGTCTGACTCTTTGTGATCCCATGGACTATAGCCCACCAGGCTTCTCTGTCCACAGAATACTCCAGGCAAGAATACTGGACTGGGAAGCCATTCCCTTCTCCAGGGGAATCTTTCTGACTCAGGGAGTGAACCTGAGTCTCTTGTGTTGCGGGCAGATTTTTGACCATCTGAGCCATCAGGAAAGCCTAGGAACATCCAAGTCATGATATTTAACAGCTGACATAGTAGCTAAATGTGTAATAAAAGTAGCTAAGTACATTCTTCACTTATGCTGGTGATAAGACTGAGCTAAGAAAATCTTAACTGTTTTCTAGTTTTTTGCCTTTTCTCCTCACACTCTTTATGATTGCTTCTACTTTTTGTTTTTGATGACTGAAACATTTCAGCAGGAGTTTGGACTGAAATTAGGAATTAACCATTGACCATGTGACTATGGAATGTAACAGTTTTCCAAATCTATGACTTTGAGGAGTCAATAGCCAGATATAATCAACAACCTTCCTAGATAGTTATATTTAATTCAATAAACTTGTCGATATATAGCCCAATAATGTAAAATACAGTTCAACAATATATAGTCTAATAACATTCCTAAATATGGTCAACATTTATTGTACCAGGCACTGGGATAATTTCATTTAACTCACAATGAATAGGAAACAGTGTATACCTTTGTTTCCATTTACAGTGAGGAAAAATGAGCCTTTGAAAAATTAACACATTTGAAACAAGGTGCTAGAAAGACCAATCCATAGCCTTAGGTCTTTGCCAAATTGAATGCACATGCAATTTCATATGATTTTTTAAAATATATCCTATACATACTACCACTCTAGTGGAATATAAAAGGAGTGTTAGTCGCTCAGTCATGTCCAACTCTTTGTGACCCCATGAACTGGGGTCACAACTGGAGGCCGCCAGGTTCCCCTGTCCACAAAATTTTCCAGGCAAGAATACTGGAGTGTGTTGCTATTCCCTTCTCTAAGGGATCTTCCTGACCCAGGGATCGAATCTGAGTCTCCTACATCGCAGGTAGAGGCTTAACCATCTGAGCCACCAGGAAAGACCCTAATAGAATATGTACTGTGCTAGTGCTATGCTTAGTCGCTCAGTTGTGTCCGATTCTTTGTTACTCCATGGACTGCAGCCAGGCTCCTCTGTCCAGGGTGATTCTCCAGACAAGAATACTGGAGTGGGTTGCCATGCCCTCCTCCAGGGGATCTTCCCAACTCAGTGATCGAACCCAAGTTCTTCACATTGCAGGCGGATTCTTTTCCATTTGAGTCACCAGAGAAGCTAATATAATTATTTATTTATGAGACAGCTTCAGCTTTTAGACTTAGTTTCTTTAGGGCAAAGATAGTCTCTGAACTTCTTTGTATGACCTATGGAATACAACAGATGCTCAATATAATTTCATACAAAAATTGATGAAGATCGGCTGGGGAATCAAGGTCATTTCACTGGAATATTGAGGAACTGTGCATTGTTTGTCAATTCAATTTCACAGCTGCAATATCATCAGTCAATAAGTAACTATTTAACAAATAGATATTAAGTACCTGGTATCACATGGACCACAGAAAATTTTATATTGCATAATTAAGTCTAAATGGATACTAACCTGGAAGAGGAAAAAATTTGTCTCTAGGATTTACCAAGAACAATTAATTTCTTTTCTTGTCAGGGCTGCTAGATTGGTAAATCAAGGGTTCTTGCAAACACAGTGTACATTAATATCAGTAAGATATCTGACAGTCTTCCATGATGTTCATGGCATGAACCAAGAATGCACACCAGATAAACAGTAGACTGGATTAATAGTTAACTGAACATCTGAAAGAGCGCTGATTAATGGAGGTCTCAGGTGATGAGTTGCAGGGATTATACTTGACGTTGATCAATGATCCTATCAATGACATACACGAGTCCACACTGATTAAATATGAGAATGGTATAAACCTAGCAAGGCTAGCTAATATACTGGAGGACAAAAATCAATACTTTAAAATATCTTTATTGGCTACAAAAATTGGCCAAGCCAACAAGCAAATATTTAACTTGGTGCAATATAAGCCAATAATGACAGCTAATAAAAAAAGTTTAGGCTGCATTAACAAGTGCAGAGGACTAAGACCAAAGGATCTAAGAGTCCCAAAGATTTCTGTGTTTTCCTGGCCACATCTGAAACACAGTACCCAACTGTGCATGGCATCCTCAGCAGAGGGCAGTTGGAAGTTATAAGTTCAGGAGACTTGAATGTAGGCGGAATACGGCTACTAAGAAGGCTAAAGATGTCCATTATAAGACTAAAATAGCCAGAGGAGTTTATACTGAAGAAATGATTATACTTCTCAAGCTTATGTGCTTGTTTTCTTCATCCTTATAAAGCCAGCTCTGAGCACAGAGCCTGCCTCATGTTTTGAGTTCAATAAATATTTGTGGATGAAGGTGATAGCAGCCATGTCAAATATCTGAAGGGCTAAAAGGGAGCTTTAGATGCTCTGTCTAGGTAGGTTGATCTTATCTCTGTGGTCTCTGCTAAACAATTGTCTCCTAGTTTTAAGCTAAGGTTTTTGGCTGCTTCTTATTTTCTCCCATCTTCAATGCCACTCTCTTAATCCAGACCCTTGCCATCCCTCACTACTGTAATCGTATCTTAATTTGTCTAACCATCCAACCATCTTCCTGTTTGTCTGCCACCAAACTGGCAGAGCTATTTCCTCCAAATACAGATTGATCAGCTCATTCCCCAGTTATGGCATTTTGATGGTTCCTACTGTACACAGGATTCCCCACTACCCACATACTACTGCTATTCTTCTGTAGCCTAGGGAAGGCAGCACTATTCAAGCATAACTTCAGAACCCTTCTTACCATAGATCTGCAGACAGCTACTACCAATCATAAGGTGTGAATACAGGATGGAACCTATTCATGCACAACCTGGCTCCAATCTGCTTTCCAGATTCATCTTCTGTCACTTTCCTTCCCATCTACTCTCCATGTCCTGAGCTTCCCTAACGTGCCCGGCTCTTTCCAGCCACTTTACCCCTGTGCAAGCTAACTTGTCTATAAGGAAAACAATTTTTCTTCCGTATCTGATCAATTTGTATGAATCCTTCCAGAACTAGTTCAGATATCATTTCCTTTTGGAGACCTTTTGCGAGCAGCAGAGTTAGAAAAGCTTCTTTTTCTTCTCTTTACGTTAAATTGCAATTATCTATTTCTTTATGTGTTGATCTCCTCCTCCCTAGAATATAATTTTCTCTGGAATGGAACCACCTCTTAGTCATCTTTGTAACATTCCTAGAGCTTGAAACAGTAGCTAGAACAAATACTCACTGAGTGACTGAAAAACTGTATAGATGACTAAATGAATGACAGGCCTCTAACTGTAAATAAGATAGGGTTAGAGCTCAGAGTTCCTGTCTATGAGCACTATTGCCACAGCAACTTTCTTAGACTTACTAGGACCCAGGCATGTTGGAGAGTTCAGAATTTCATTGATAAAAACAAGTAATAGTGATGATGATAATAGCTAACATTATTGAATGCTAATTATGTGCTGAGACAAAAACTGCTTAGATTTAAAGAACAAGGAGCAGAACAAATCTTAAATATGGTTAAAGATAAGAACAGAATAAAGATAATTCTGAGTATAGTTACACTTTGATATGTTACCCCGAAATATGACAACTGTCTAAAACTCCACCTAAAGAACTTTAGATCATTTATTAATACAGAGAGGTTAGAGCCAAAGGAAAGAATATTCCTTACACATGTCTGGGCTATGCAGCAAAGAAAAAAAAAAAACATATATTTTTTTCTGATATCATTCTATAGTGGCTACAGTTACAATTATCCTAAGAAATTTCTGTCCAGGTCAAATCTACGTGGATGAAAATTAGTATCAGGTAGAGTCTTCTAGTGTTCCAAAGGATAGCCATATGATCTAGAAAGAAAAATAAGCCTTTGGTGACAAAAATTTGAGGAGTAAAAGTGCTAACTGTTGTATGCTCCTCTTAGAAACTTACAAGGTATGTTAGTTATTGGGGATAAGAAGACAGAAGTAAGAAAACCTATTCAGTATGGCTTAACCCAGACTTTTTTCACATGCATTTGAACCATGAATTTTTTTTTTATTAGAATGCTTAGTATTTATTTTCATGGAATTAGAATCAGAAACATTGGCTTTGGAGGCTCATAGAAACAGTTCTGCACTGGAATTCTAGCAGAGGGCACGTGCCAATGCAATGAAGATCTATCTGATTCAGAGAAGGTAAGGTTGGCTTTTGTCTGGGCCAGAAGAGACTCAGGCCTGGTACCATCATTTACTTGATAGAAATTCAACCCTTTATAAAGGCTTGGGAGAAAGAGACCAGCTCTTAATCAGTCCTTTGAATTAACAGTTTTGTTACGGCTGTCTCACACAGTCACAGGAATTTATATTTTCATTTTATCCCAAAGAAAAACTTGACCATCTTTCTTTAATACTATCAACCTGGAAGCTTGACAGTAAGGATTAAAAATTGCTCCTTCCTTCCCACTTGGTTATTGGAAAGGCTCTGAAAGGTAATCAGTCTTGTGAAGCTGCACTTTACAGTCTGCATAAAAACGCCATGATTTTCCTTCCTCTCCCCAACCTAATTGAAAGTGCATAATATCACCCAGCTGGGGAAATGTAAATGGTAAACATATACAATATATCATGCTATCACACAAAAGCTGGTTACTAATAGGGACTGGGTGGTTGTCAGGACCAAAGGGAATCTGGAAAACAAGTTTTTTTTTTTTTTTTTCATCTAGAGTAAGAGTTCTTTGTGCCTGCCACCCAGCCACCCCCCCCACCCCCCAACACCTCCTCCCTCCAGACTTCAAGTTACAGCAGATTAAACCAAGGTCAGTCAGCTCATTCCTTGTGTGTGTAATTCCAAGGGTCACCTAACAATATATATTGACTAACACTCTCTTATACCAGCCTTTCAAGAAATGAGGCATTTTGCTTCTGGCAGGAGGTGGGGTTGGGATGATCCTGTTCCCTACCTACTTTGATTGTACTGACAGATGGCCCTATTATCTCTTTCCTTGGCTGCTAAACCTTAAGATCCTTGGCCTTGTCACCTCTTATCTCCCTCTACTTCATCAAACTCCTTTTGCAAAGATTATCTCCTTTTCTACCTCTGATCACCTAGGAATATCTATACAGGATCACACATGCCTTCAGCAGAAAATCTCAATCTTTTCAAAGTCTTCTGCAATTCAGAGGTTATCTACAATTAAACCAACTTAGAAATCAACACTCTCTTCTCTGGCCCCTCACCTTCAAGAGTCATGCCATCTTCTAGAATCCATCTTTTATAGTAGGACTCTTAGGAGAAAGGATAACATCCCTTCAAAGAGTTCATCACTAGTTCTGTTATAGCATTCCTTCAAAAATTGCTCCCTGTTGCCTCATGAACTCAACTACTGCTATTCATTCATGCCTCCTTATAACTAGCAATTGTTTTATTTTTGATGGCTGATACCTTACGGGTAGGTCAAAGCATAGCACTTGTCAAGAGTACTATGTCATTTCAGTTTTAATAGGTCGAAGGATATATTTTTATCTGCTTCAGCAGTGGAGATGATTTGAAACTTACTGAATTAAAACCACATTCATCTTTCAATAAGTTACATTACCTGTCAGCTGGTACTGGTGGATGGTATGGCTTGTTGACCTTGGCATAGAGACTTTCTAAGTGGTCTCTGTCTGGAGACAGTGGACGGCCATCTCGAGGGTAGCCCAGCGGTCCAGCCCGAGGGGGAGATGGAGACCTGTAGACGTTTGCTGATGTACATGGTTCCCGGAAGTGGTTCACTCTGGCATAGTTGGGGTCCACTTCATCATCGTCCATATCATGCAGTGATCCAATTGCACCAGTAGCATAATCAATAAGACCTCTTGCCTGCTTTTCCCTTAGCTCCTGATGTTTTGCTCCAATCCTGAAAAATGTAGAACAAGATGTATGTGAGTTTAAATGCTGATACAACGATAGACTCTCCTGAGTCTATATTAACTACTTCTTGTCAGTTACTTAACTGCCACTTTTCTGGATACTGAAGATACATGAAGAAATGCTAATATCAAACTCCACCGGATTCATTTTATATCTCTGAGCTTCATTTATTACATTATTCCCTAGTGGCGCAGACAGTAAAGAATTGGCCTGCAATGCGGGAGATCCAGGTTCGATTCCTGGGTTGGGAAAGTCCCCTGGAGAAGGGAATGACAACCCATTTCAGTATTCTTGACTAGAAAAATCTCATGGACAGAGGAGCCTGGCAGGCTACAATCCTTGAGTTCACAAGAAGTCAGATATGACTGAATGACTAACACTTTATTTGTTACAGGGTCTGGAAGATCCCCTGGAGAAGGAAATGGCAACCCACTCCAGTATTCTTGTCTGGGAAATCCCATGGACAGAGAAGCCTGGTGGATTGCAGTCCATGGGGTCGCAAAAGAGTGGGACATGACTTAACAACTAAACAACACCAGCTTTACTTTTATAGAATGCTATAGGTATTTTAACATTTTGTCTGATGATGACTAGGCTGATTGCAAAGTCAGAGGCTGATTTTTATTAAAATTTCTTCCCTATAAATGGGCTGTGCTCATGGGAACAGTCCATCTTTGGTGTAATATTCTAGAAGCCAACTTTGGGAAAGGGATGCATGTCAGAGAGCCCATTAGAATCTTATACTTTGTCTGTGATTTTCTTATTTGGTGCCTTCAACTTTTAGTATATTCTTCTAAAGAAAAAAAGCTTGCAAAAATTGATTTAACTATGAAAAAGAAATACAGAGGCTTTCTGGTCAGTAAAAGCAGTGGTATCAGAGATAATTTATAAGAGACTCTAAGTTTTTGGTTACACAAATGGGGATCATTGTGTTTCATTATACAGGGACTAGGGACAGAGTAAAATAGTGAAATTAATAGGCTCCTGACAGAGACGAATTGGCACATATAAGTGAATTAAACACCATTACTGGCAGAACTCCACAGCACTAAAGCCTTTAGTGATATTACAAAATGCTATTGCTAATCAGTGTACTGTGTAGACTACCGGGAGTGGGAGCAGTAAAATACAGTTCAGTGTATTCCAAACCCATCTGAATTTTGAGAATTTGACATTTAATCTGGAAAGTGTTAGATTGGATCTCCTAAATTCCCAGTTACATGTTAAAATGGACAAGTCACTGTGGCATCTTAGTGGATGATGGTGATATGATGGTCTCTGGAGGTGTTCTCCACTAAAGAGGAAAGAATGCAGTCTCATATCACCAGGCAAATAAGGTGCATTCAGTACAGGAGGAGAAAAGTAAGACAATGCTGGCTCAGGTGGTGAAAGAAAGACTCAAGAAAGGATGGGGATAAATCTGAAGACCTGGGCTCAGAGAATATGAAAGGATTGCGGGCTAAAAGTGAAAGATCTATATCTGCCTGGAAATATATATTGAAGGCCTACATGAGTGACAAAATAAAAACTGAATTCTCTATCTTTTCCTCTTCAAATAAAAACATCTGTTTTTGCACACAGCAGCTAGTTTTATTTTACAGAACATCAAACTCTTTGTAAAAATCTTTAAAAGCCACGATCTTTCAAGGTATTTTCCTTTTGGTAGAATGGCTTTTTTCCCCCCCTTTGAGTAGAGAGGAGGAAGAAAAGATAAAAATATGAAGAAGAAGGTATAAGACAAAAAACCAGTATCTTCAAGTCACAACAGATGAAAATAAATGCCACAATATATTATTGCATATCTCTTTTGACTAGGTCAAATTATGTACCCTACACATAAGTAATGAGACGAATTTATATTTTGTGCAAAGGGGAGCTTGAATCTCCAAGGGATGTTGAATGAAGATGAAAGGAAGATTACACAGTAGGGTACCCGTTAAGAGGCCCTGCCTGTCCTCTTTCAATGCACATTAGTCCCAGATTCATGGATGTTTGTTTTGAATAATTTTTGATGAAGAAGATAACATGCTCCATTCTGTAACAAAATAATCTTTCTAGGGATGGTGCAGACTGGACTATCAGAGGATGCTTGCTGCACTATGATGGCAGGGATGGATATCCATTGCAAATAGAGAATAGGACATCAATAAAGTTAGGGGGTGGGGTTTTGTGTGGTTGCTATTCCTCCGAAGTGGGAGACCTTCTAGAGAAATCACTCAGAAAGATGAACATCTCAGGGTTGCCACACAGGGCTACACTTATGCATTAATGAAAGAGTAAAATACCAAGCTTGATTTTTCAAAGAATCACAGAAACAGAACACAAGACTCTGTATTCCTTATTTCATCACTTCTCTTTCTCAGAGGTTTTCTCATTAATTAAGCTTGCTGAGTATGTAAAGATTCTCGGATGAAAAGTACTCCATATATGCAAAGCAGTATTTTATCTTGTACTTTTCCTTTCTAAAACAAAACCAAATTTCTCCTTGATCTTCTCTGTGCCACTGAGTGCTTCAGTAACTAATTTCATATTAATCACTCAGTAGGTGAAATAGTAATTTCTCTGAACCGCCATTATTATGCCATATATCAGGATCTCTCCATGTGGGGGAGGACAAGGCAATCTCTGAAAAGGGGTATATGGAAGCAGAAAAGACTCTCTCAAGGGAGAAAAGGCAAGGAAATGGATTTTCTTTTTTTGGTTGTTCTGACCTCCCTCTGTCCCAATTCAGTGTGAGAATTCTAATTGTTTATAGTCATTTCCACATAGATGTCTCTTTACCACTGGGAATTCAACCTGTTAAAATATCTATTTTTCAAAATAGTCCTGGATAATATTCCCTTTTTATTGGATGGTACCACCAGCTTCCTCATTGTCCCCAGCACACTGCCTTTGAATTGTTTCAATCCCCTCCCTCTGTTTTCCCCTACAAAAACATTGTTGTTTCTTTTTTCCATTATAACGCTTGGATGGTATATTTTATTTCCATTTCTATAGCCATAGACTAGTGTCCAGGCTTTATATTGCCTGGTCTGCACCATCCAGCATAGTGGGCCTTAACCGTTATGAGGCTATATAAATTTAAACTGAAATTAATTTTTGAACATCTAAAATTCAGTTTCTCAGTTTCATAAGCCACATTGCAAGTACTCAACAGCTAAATGAGCTCAGGACTTCTATACTGGACAGTCCAAATGGAGGCTAATTCTATCACTGCAGCAAGTTCTATTAGGTGGTGCTGGCAGGATTATGCTAAGATTTTTTGTATGTCACCACATCCCACTTTATACCTTAAAAGGTACTAGCATAATCTTCTTCAAAGAGTATTTCTATTGCATCACTGTCAGATCAAGGCTTTCTAAAAAAAGATTGTGATAAATGATGGCACAAGAGTGTGGTTATTCCACTTTGTTCCTTGAATTCTTAAATGAATGAATGATCGAGAAATTGAGAAAAAATTCCATCTACCAAAGAATTAGGATACAGTTATAGTTTCAAACCATGCAATAAAATTTGAACTCCATCCAAAACAGGTAGTATGTCAAGAGTCAATATATAGCTTCTTCTCTAGCAGGGTAAACATTTTACTAAAAAGTAAGAGAAAGAAACCAGAGAATTACAGACAAACTTTTGATTAGAAAAAGAGAGTTTAAAGACAGGGGTAGGACACTGGAATTGTAGGGTAAATCTTTGTGAGGTTCCATCCTAAGAATGGAGGAGAGATAGAGCTAAAAGAGAGAAATTTCCACTGAGAGAGATATTTCCTTCTACCTTGAAGAAACTTCATGGAGGTAAATGAAGAGAAGAGAAAAGAACATCAGTCCACTCTGTAGCTGATAAGGCAGGATGACCAGAGCAAGATAAACAAACACAAACTTAGCAAAATAAAACCTTAAATCATCTAAGAGACTTCACTCTTGTTGTGATTTGGCTGCTAAGTCAAGTCCAACTCTTTGCAACCCCGCAGACTGCAACACACCAGGCTCCCCTGTCCCCCACCACCTTCCAGAGTTTGCTTAAATTCATGTCCATTGACTTGGTGATGCTATCTAACCATCTCATCCTCTACTACCCCCTTCTCCTTTTGCCTTCAATCCTTCCCAGCATCAGGGTCCGGGCTGATATCTTGTTACAGCGATCTGCTCTCCCAAAATGTCAGGTCATGGAAAAGCTATCAAGGTAGTGAGCTCAGACCAGGTCTGAAGACATTTTGAGAGAATATATGGAACTGAAGTGGCTCGTAACCTTAGCTCATTAAGCCTTGTCATAGAACACTGTATTTTAGTATAGATTTAACAAAAAATACCATAGAACATGAAATTAACTTAATGGATCACAATATGTATTCAAAAAATTAAATACAGTAAAAGAGAAAATATTAGAGGTTCTTGCATGCAGTAAGCATAAGTATGGTGTTAAGAGAAAAACCAAGTCATCTAAAAATCCAGGCAAATTCAAGCTGGCCTCAAACATGAATAAAGACAAAAGAAAAACATTTCAGAAAACATTCCAAAAAACATTTCGGAAAAGAATGCAACACTTGTTGACCCATCTTGAAAAATTACTTAATAATGAAATGCATCCAACCAAGAATTGAATTCAGATTAAGAATTCAGCCAAGCAAAGCTGGGGAATGACAGACATGGAGGTGAGAAAAACATTCATTTAAATAGAAAATGAAGGCTAAACATTTATTTGTAGGACAAATCATTATAGAAAAATGTAAATATTATAAACTCTGATAATATAAAAGTAGTATCATTACACTAATAAGGAGGTGATTTGGGGGAAGTATTAATACTCAATGTACTTATTTCCCCATTTTTTAAAGAAAGCATCAGCAGTTACCACTTAAAGTTAATAAATATATGAAATACAACAACAAAAAACCAATGAAACAAATTATGAGCAGAAGAGAAATACAAAAAACAAAAGCCCAATGATAGAGTAGAAAATAAAAAACAGAGGAACCAGTAAAAAATAGAG